ACCAACCCAAATGGGGTTGGTTGGCAGAGGCCTTGTAATAAGTTGGCAAAACCTCGGGGTAGGTTTGCACACAACATGCATGGGAGTGTGGTGTAATAAATCAGTGTCAAATGGATCATTTTTCAACGTTTTCAATACACTAATAAATGAAAACAAGTTATCACTGTTTGGTATTGCAAAACAACGCCACAGTAGCAACCACAACAGTCATTGTAGTTTCAAAATTAAGTGGTTAATTTTTTACCACTTTCTGAAAAAAATATTGTATTTTTTTAACATTAAGTAGATAGCCTCATTTAATTTTTACAAGTTCAACGCTTAAGAAAACTTCAACTTGATATAGGGAACACGGCATTTTGCATAATGAAGCTACAACAAAAGAAAAATAAATATTTTAAAAAAATGAATGATAACTCTTTATAAAATTAAACTTCGGTTGATAAGAAAAAATTAAAGCCCTTTCATGTCTCCTAAGTTCAAATAATCCTTATCGTAAGAGCAATGACAAAAAGAGAGCTGAAGTATCTCTGAAACGTGTTTCCCAATGAGCCACCGCCCCAACGGACAGCGCCCTGTTGCGACTACTACATGAAATGTATAGTCGGTGTAATACGTATGTGCCGCCCGCTCGTGTCATTTTACGGGTGAGCCCACTGCGTTGCCCTGCAGCGGTCCGAAACCCGGAGCCATTACACAGAACCTAACTAGAACTGCCATGCTAAGATTTGTTCTTCTTGAAAATACACGTTTCTGCCCTTGGAAATATGTCAGAAAAGTCACGAAATGTATTTTATCAGAACAAAGACAAAATCTGAAAAATAAGAATTGGATGTTTTCCACCACCTTTAATGTTGCAGAAGGTGGAGCTTTCTAACAGTGGGAATGTCTTCTAGTAGATAACATGTACGTAATGGCTAGATGTGAGAAATATATCAGAAAAAATAGTGTTATTTTGTGGAGATGGTTGGCAAAGGATGAAGCTGGTTGACACTATGTCAGCCAAACCCCATCGAAAAATGCCTACAAGCCGCGAACGGGATTTTGGATTGAGATATAGCTGCAGAGATGACACGGGAGCTCAAACTGAGAAATAAACTTGAAGATCAACCATATTAGTATAAAAATCACATATTAGTAAAGTTATCATATATTTAATTTATTTCAAAAGTAAATCAATATTACGAGTATTTATATAAAAATAAACTTTTTATTGTGTTCGCAATTGTGTTGAATTTTCCACTTGTGATATTAACACCAATAGCATTGAACTACATACGGTGAAACCCCTCTATACCATCTAAATTTGCACCTAAACGTGGTCGTCTTAAGGGGTGGTCGTCGTGAAGGGGTTTCAATTATCAAGTCTGCATTCTGGTCATGTTTATTAACACTTTTATTTCGTATCTTAAGGTCGTTCTTATTCCAGTTTTGAGGATGTGCCGGAAAAACAGAATTCTCACTGCTCTATTTTGATCTTAGTCACTACATATATTTATGACAGGCTAAATTTTCGAAATTAGAAGCCGACAAGATTTTTTTACTTACTTTTAAGTCTGCGGACAATTCAATATCAATTCAAATAACATTTTGAAACATAAGATTTTATTTCATGTATGCCTGCTGTAACGGGGCGGGGCAGAGCGGAGCGGGGAGGAAAGCAGCGGGATGAGAATGATGGACACTTGAATAAATTTACTTTCCATTTTTTAAACTATAAATACACTATCTGACTTTTCACGCCAAATAGATGACTACAATAAATGAATTCACAGGCAAATTCTAGATTACTTCAGCTAGTAATTACTGCTTAGGAAAATGAAGAGGTAACAGAAGATATGTGCTAAACAATGCCATCATTAAGGAGAAAACATGTATTGTTTCAAAAATGTCAATAATGATTCTCTTTCATCGGTTCATCAAAGAAATATTGGCATGAAAAATCAAAAAGTAGTTCAGAAACAATTCAGATTCTCCAAACTAATCATATATTATTTTTCAATTGTTTGGGTTTGGTTACTTCTAGGCTGTCTGTCTCAATGTAGGCAGTCTGTCTCAATGTCTGTCCATCTGTAAAGTACACTAACGCCTAAACAGAACACATGCGTTTATTTTCTCGCGTTACTACGTAAGTGGTAAAGAGAAAGTGTTGTAAGTAAAGTAAATATTGTAAGTGCGACGGAAATCAGCGATTTTGCGATAAAAAAACTTCTTACTGTCGGACCCTGGAAACGAAAAAGTGGATACATTTTATTTCCATATGTAGTAAATTACTTCTAAGACGTTGTGTAATTAGAATCCTCGTTTTTTTGGGTCCATGGTATCGAAACATCGACTGACGGCAAAAGGTCTGACTGTATGTCAGTCCGTCTGTCAGTGTCTGTGCTAACGCCTAAATCGTTCAGGAAATTTTCTCTGAAATTGATATTTAATCACCAATCTGAGCTATTCAAGGTCCTGCGAGTATGAAACGGATATTTTGATGCTCGCGTTAAATTAAATTAAGAATCAACAATATTCTCCAAATTTTCGTAAAATGTTTCCAAATTTTTTTATTGAACTTCATCATCGGGTAGTGAAAAGGACGATTAAAAAAATGGGGAAGGGCTAATTTTCGTTGAAATCTGAACTGCATAGGTTCAACTTTTTTTCTCGGTGTCTTCTTACAACTACAATATTGAACATAGATTTTTCCTTAATGAAATCTGCTGTTACAAGATAGATCTTGTAATAATACCACGTATAATTCTTCAACAATACGAGTATTATTCGGGTAATTTTGCCCAAAATACAGTTAATTTTTAAACAATTATTTTCTCAAAAAACCGGTCCAAATTTTTTCTTTAATTCTATCCTTGAATGCATCAAAGACCGGTAAAAATAATTGGTGCATGTTTCATTTTCAGCGAACTCTTTGTATTTTCAAAATTGCAAAATATTAACATCGCAAACGCACAATATTGATCCTTTTTTATTGTAGTTAAATTATTTCCACTTTCAAGAATTGTTTCTTTAACTACGGTCATGCAAAATATTTTGGAAAAATTATAGTTTTTCGGTGAGTTTCACCAACACCGATCAGTAACATTAACGGACCTCAATCCACTGACGGGACGGCAAACGCCTTATTTATGTTTCACCAAAGTCGTTTCTCTCGTCAAACTATTCGTCAAATTTAGATGGATCGGTACCCCTCCATCAACGTCTTTGACGACTCGTTAAATTACTATTGTGAGATTATGTGAATCAAGCGCGTGCATTGTATCTCATTAACCAAGTAATTTTATTTAGTTGCTGTTCATATAGGGTGTGTGATGCCATGAGAGTTCATTTTGATGTTTAACTTTTGTATATTTACAAACCATGGGTCCAGAACAAGCAATTAATCAATAACTATATTTTTTATTAGTTGTAAGATCCCCATTTCGTAACGCGAGAATATCGAAGGCTGTGTTCCGGAAAATTTTAGAAGAAATATAACCGCGTCTGGAATATCTCTCAAAGAGAAATAGGCCTCTAATGCTCATGTTCAGTAGTTGATAGCTGTAAGATTTTATGCAGCAGGACATTTCCTCCGGTCATTGCAATGGAATTGCAATTGTTATCCACAAAGTGTGATTGCATTAATAAGAATATCATTTCTTTGACAAATTCTTCTCTACGCCTAAAGTATGTGGTATTGCCATGGGCTTCCAAAGCCTAATTAAGAATTTACACATCATCATCATTTCATGTCATTTTCACAGTTACCACACCGTTAAATGCAATAGTGGTCGCTAATGTCCTAGATGTTGATGCGACCATAAATAACTTTAAAAAAGGTCTTTAGTATGATATTCTCAGTCAATAGAGCAGTTCTCTGGGGCTCAGTCAATGGAGCAAAGAAAGAAACGCTGCAAACAGTTTCATATGCTTCACAATTTTACTTTCGCATTTAATAACACTACGCAGTGGAAGTTATAGAATACTGTAAGACGAAGTGCCGACTTTTCGAGAGAAAAAAGTCAATACATTTTGTGGGTTTCTAATGGAGTAAAAGAGGATTTTTCTTATTCTCAAATGCAGTAAATTACTTTGTCACCCAATTAGTGTAGAGTCCACGTTTTGGTAGACCCATAATACCGTAAAAGTGTTGTTTTTTTTCTCAATACGTTTGGTAATCATCCTTCTGTCTGTAAAAATTAGCATATACATAGCACACAGAATTTTCACCAAAATTGATATTCCCCGTTTGGCTTGCTATATGATGCGATTCTTCGAATTTTAAACAGATATTGAAAATACTTCAAATGTAGCTCGATCGATTTTCGACTTTTTTTCAAAAATGGCTCCTCTTTTTTTAACGTTTTGCTCTAATATAGTACACCTAAAAAAAAATTCGCCAGGGAGATTATCAGAAAAAACTTTATTTTAGAAAATTGCTTAGTTTTAATTTTTATTCGTAGCCCTCTTTCATTATTTAATAGACATTTCTTTATCAAGGCAATCTATTCGTTAAAATTCGATTTTAAAATAATTTTTGATACATTTTTTCACAATAATTGTATTGTGTATTTGTTAGAATGGGTTAGATGCACCGCAAATGTAAGAATTCATTATAGCATTAGAAATGGAGTGGTGCTGATATCCTGTTAAAAAGCGTCCGGGACAGACTCTTTTCAGCCTGGGAAAAAACATTGTTTATCCTTTTGTAAGAAAAGAACTCTGAGTAAAAAGAACAGAATATAACTCAATACCCTCTACGCTGACAACCATTTTCAAAAAATTTAACAGATGCATTGTTGTTGTTTTTTCATTTTTTTCGAACCCCTTGCTCTTTGTTTGGTTGGAAATTTTGCAATTGATGGTTGAAGTGTTAGCAGGATAGAAGTTGCAAATATTTCGTTAACGTTGCAATTAATACGAGAAAGTACAGCTGTAGTACGACTAGTTTCTATACAATAACTAATACACTAAAGAGACAAAAAGAAATATCATAACAAATATGAATTATCCTGATTGAAATGTTCCTTGTTTCAGACGGCGCCCCGAAGATCCGGCACAACCATAAGCTCGACATTCAGTACTTCCGGTTTTCGGAAAAGATCACACGCAACAAAGTGGAACGCGCCTTCCTGTGGGTGTACGTGAAGGGGCTGAACTGGACGACGGAGAAGGAAGGGCGAGCGTCTGCGGGCGCGGAGGAGGGCGGCGGGTTTGGCGCGGGGCCCCACCTGCCCCTCAACATCACTCTGTGGCACGTGGACGCGTCGGCGGGTGCGCTGTCCGGAGCGCACGACCTTCAGAAGGTACAAGTGATCTCCGACAACAAGAAGCACCACCGGCACACCGGGCGCGGCGAGTGGCTGCGCCTGGACGTGCACAAGCTGCTGGCGGAGTGGTTCCGCCGGCCCACGGACAGCCTGGGTCTGCTGGTGCAGGTCACGGACGAGTCAGGCCACCAATTGGTCGTCACCGACCCCAACGAGGATGACGGCATGCTGGTAAGGCTCTTGCGGGGTGTTTCGTTAACTGTTTCTGCTTCCGTGCGATCCGCAGCCCACAAATCCGTCTGATGGCAAGTACACCATCTTCGATATTCCGAGTTCGGCTATTTGGAAGAACCCCTTGACTGATTTCAACACACGCAGGTAACTTATTTCGCGCTTTGATCCGGCAGCACAACGTAGTTTTTTAACGCGCCCACTAAGAGTCTTTTAGGTTTTTATGGATTTAAACTTCCTGTAGATAGTTATGAATTTCGCCGCCCGTTTTTGAATTTTCAAATAACCCTTCAATCTGACCAAATCCGTAGGGGACACAACAAGCTGACACATTGTCGTGTATTGACCTAACTAACGATGGATATGTCTATTTTCGACTCTCGGAATTGCACTTTGTATGTATTCTCACTACGAATAGTTGTCATATGCATGCTATTTAAGGAAGTGGCATGTTTCCCATCACAGGTCCTGCCATAATATATCGCCCAGATATTTATAACACGTATTCACTTCACATCTTAAATAACTGAATTAACTCATCCGACTTCTTAATAAATTCTTTACCTTGACGTCTTTCTCCTTCAGTTGAGGGCGACTTGTAATGAAGTGGCAAACTGACCGCCTTCATCGCCGGGCACGAAGCCTGAACCCCGTTCCATCCTCATTCGATCCCGGTGGAAATTATAGTGAACAAAACGACTTCGTGTCAGGTTTTCACAACATTGTGTCGTTTACTCTGCTTCGTTCCTCCATCCACAAGATTTTCATGTTCATTACTCACTTTATCATTATTGTCATCATTACATCTCAATCAAACGCCTCCTCGAGAGGATTTCGTCTCACTGTTGAGATGTCGGACTTCCTGAGGGCATTGTACCATATAGACTGTGAAGAAGCGTCACCACAAAAATACTTACCATACCGTAAATAATTTAGTAAAAATGCTGGTTTTAGTGACCTAAAAAATGGCGGTCTCGTTGAACTCTGAAAAAAAAAACGGCGGCGATGGTGTAACGGTTAGCGTACTGGACTGTTGTACCCAAGTTGGCGGGTTCAAACCCGATCGAAGCCGTGGATTTTTAAGGGCGAAAAAATCCTTCGTACGCCTTCCTTCGGAGGGGAAGTAAAGCCGGCTGTCCCATGTTCGTAGAGTTACTTGCATGTAAAAGATCCTCAAGCCTAAATGACGCCTCTGACCTAAATTCAAATCGCCTGTTTCTCGCCCAAGAAATACCTCCTTTCTCTCCTAGTTGGTGAAAGGAGCGTAGCGAAATTTGCGTGGTCAGACGGAAGAGCGGGCCTGATGGCCCGAGTCTCGCCACGCAAAATAAGGCAAATTCAATTCAATTCAATTCAAAAAAAACTCTGAATTAAACTCAGTTGTTACCACAGAAATGCATATGGATAGGTAAACAGAAGTTATCTTCTAGAATAAAGGAAGATGTATTTACACTAAATACAGAACACGTATAAGTGTTTCGAGTGTTTGTAACCTCAATCTCTGTGCACCCTATCAGATATAAAAAGAACCAAACTCTGAAGTTTCACAAGATGCAAAAGTTACAAATATTGCGAGGAAGTATATGTTATTGTCACACCAGTAGTTCCTTAAAGGATATGAAGGGAGAAAGGACAACGAAATAATATACAACATAGGCGCGTGTTTTATTAAAATGTTCGATAATTAAATGTTCAAAAATAACTCAAGTGTATTCAATTTTCTTACTTTCTCGTCTCACAACGTACGTAGTAAAGAGAAAGCTTTCTAGTGCTGCAGTTGAAATTGGCGATTTTTCGGCCGGATAACTGTGAGATCCTGGCATCCAAAAAGGGGGTAAATCCTGTCCCCATATGTAGTAATTTACTTCCCCTATCTCATTATGTAATAGGAATTTACGTTTTGTGTGTCCTTGATACCAAAAAATAAATTATGCGAAAACGTCTGTCAGACCGTCCATGGTACACGCTCCAACCTAAACCGTCAGACATCAATATTATACTTTTGCAATGTTAAAATTTTGCAGTTTTTGAAAATACAGTTCACCTGAAATTCGACCAGCACGATTTATTTTACCATCCTTTGATACATCTTAAGATTCTTTTAAAAATGAGAGCCATTTTTGAAACATATACGCAAAATCTATTCATATTTTCGAATAATTGTACTTGACCTTATTTCAAGAGCTATCTTTGAACAACAGATATATGAAAAACATTTGAACTTTTCCAGATTTCGAAATACCAGGAATTTCAATGAAAGTAATTCCTTCATCACTTTTAGCTTCATTTACACTATTCGAAACAAAATTTATTCAAAAAACCGAGCTATTTGTGTGTATGAAAATGTCTTCATAGAAAGTACACTTAAAAATTAAATTATCAGTTTAAAACTCACAGAGCCTCGAGTTCCTGTAGATCAATCATGGAATATCAATTTTGGAGAAAAACTTCTCAACGGTTTTGGTGCTAGCATTGATCACAAACGTGCTGACAAACGGACTGACGGTCGGATAGACAGTGGAATGTTTTGCCGTCATTGATTTTTCGATATCAAGGACTCACAAAACCTGAATTCTGACGACATGAAAAGTTAGAGGAATTAATTTACAACCTATAGAAACAACACTTTTTCGACAACTCTGGTTTGTCGGAAAATAGATTTCCGCAGCATAACTACAATACATTCTCTTTAATAAGTACATATGTAGTAAGGAGTACGCAGAAAGAGAAAATAAAAGTCGAAGAATTTGCAATTTCAAAAATATCATTAATTTACATTTTTGTTATTTCAAGATCTAGTATTAAAGAACAGATTTCATTATGAAAAATCTCTCTCATCAATATTGTTTTTTGCAATGTTGAATTTTTGTTTGCAATTTTCAAAAATGAAGAGAATTCGACGAGAGACCTGTGCCATTTTTTATGCGTCCTCTGCTCAACTCGAGAAAAAAAAGTTAAAGAAAAAATTCGAAGCCGTTTTTGTTTTTTTTTATAAATTGCCTTTAATTGAAACAAACGTTAAGCAAAAACGACAGTTTTTTCTTAAAACCGTGCAAGACCCTATTTAAAATCTAATTGTTTAGAATCAATTTCGTTATGGAGAAATCTCTGTCAATATTGTACTTTTGCAAAGTTAATTTATGCAATTTTTAAAAATACAGAAAATTTGCCGAGAATGGGATTTTCGAAATTTCTTAAGCGTGTAATGCTCTATCTGAACAAAACTTTAATAGTGAATTAGTGCATTTACGACGTATTTTAATACTGAAAATTCGAACCAAAATTTTGCATTGCTCCACTTGAGCATCGAAATATTTTTTCATGGTGGGGAATGAGAACAGAAAAGTTGTCTCGAACTCCGTAGCATCGAATTGAATACATACGAAACAAACATTTCATCACCATCACGTCGAGTAATTCTCCTTGTGCCAACTTTGAAGATAAAAAGCTACTGTTGGAAACGGTTGTTATTCTTAGTTATTCTCAATGAGCATAAATTGTTTTAAATTTACCTATACAAAAAAAACGAAATTGCTGAGAGTTAATTTTCTATAAGACTGATATTGAGATTTGACACTGTTTATAAGATTAAGTAATATAAATGACCAGTTAAACAAAGAGAATACCTTAATATTTTGAAACACTGATGATCAAAATAATTCGAATACTCAGGAATTATCATATACTATTGTACACAGAACAATATTTTCAACAAACCAAATGAGCACTTAACATTAAACACGTGTTTAATTTGTCAAAAAGCCATTGTAGTGCGAAAGGTACAATTGAGATGTAACCGGTTTAAAGGTAAATGTTTGTGATTATTAACATGTCTATCATATGAAACTCTCGTTATTTGCTTGATCTTAATTTGGTCTATGACGCTGTTACAAAATTTGTTCGAAGCATATTTTACCGTTAAATTGATTACATTTGAATTATCTTCTTGCTGAGAATTAAAGATAATATATTTTTAACGAAATTAATTGACATTGTACACTAATGTTAACTGTCATGCTATGTTCACAGGTTCCATACATTGAGGTGACCACCACGGACAAGCGTAAGCATCGCACTAAGCGCACCATCGGTCTGAATTGCGACGAATCGTCGGACGAGACGCGCTGCTGCCGCTATCCTCTCACTGTCGACTTCGAAGAATTCGGCTGGGACTGGATCATCGCTCCCAAAAAATACGAGGCCAACTACTGTTCGGGAGAATGCCCTTACGTATTCCTTCAGAAGTACCCTCACACGCACATCGTGCACCTGGCCCACCCCACGGGCACTGTGGGGCCATGCTGTGCGCCGCGCAAAATGTCGGCCATCTCCATGCTCTACTTCGACAACGAATTCAACATCATCTACGGCTTACTCCCCGGCATGGTTGTCGATAGATGCGGTTGTTCGTAAACTCTCAAAGAAGTTTTCAATTGATGACTCGATCCACGTGTCAAAAATGCAATGCAACAAATCACGCGATGTAAAAATCGAAAAAATATGAGACTGATTCAGTCGTCATTTGAGTTCAAGTCCAACTGTGCAAAACGTCTCCATCTTTATTTGAAATATCATTTGCAATATGGTGTTTGGTGGAATTCGTGCTCTGACACGATTACCTCTCCTCCTCGTACTAATCTTCTTCGACTCCGAAGAGTGCGAAGAGACCGTTTCGCTCGTTTGGACTTGAATCAAGTGCAATCGATAGCACACCTATCACTTGCTTCCGACCAGCCAATCCATCTTCATTAGCACTTTTCCATCACGGTTGGCAGAGAGTAAGGTGTGTTTTAAGTGAACTAACTGAAACACTTCTCTATTTAAGAATTTTAGTAAGAGTTTAAACGACTGCTGAAAAACTCTAGCGCACGTGAATAGGAGGGACTCGCAGTGGAAGTATGTTGAATCCCACAAGCGAGTTATGAGCCACCTTGTCTGAAGACTGAGCCGGAGACCGTCGTTCGCCGTGAAGTGAAGTTCCTTGCTCAGATTTCCACTCTTCGCTGATAAAGATTTTCCTCCTATGTTGAAAAAATCTCAAAAATTTATGAGATGTTAAATTTAATAGGAGAGAGAAATCACTGATGAAATCAAAGTACTAAATACAATACTGACTCTCAATGAATCTCACTCATTATATCTTTCAAAAAACTCAGAAATGTATAGAAACATTGTTTCTTCTACACAATTCTTTTTGTCGATAAAAAAGTTAAGAATCTTCTATTGTAATGAAATATATTAATTTTAGTCTCGAAAATACTTCCACGTTCTTCCGTAAAGTAGTTTCATTCATAATCAGAAACTACTGGAGTCTAAATTATCAAATAATTATTTCATAATTAGCTATGATGATTAGGAAACTTTTTGGTCAAAAAATTATAGATCTACCCCAAAAAACTGGTTATACACATGTGGAAAATCACGAGAGTGAAAATTATGAGTACAGGTGGAATTACGCAATAAGATCCAGAAAGAAAGAAAGAAGGAATTTCGTGCCTTCAATGTCTCTATAAAAGCCTCGAAAAATTCAATTCGATTTGTCCTGGAATATTGTCCGCATATTCGACGACCGCTGTCCGGTTGGGCCCAGCGCCAGCATTCAGTACCTGCGTTAAACATCACAGGGTTATAAGCTCATCCGAACTTATTCACATCTTTCTGATGTATGTTCAGAAGTTGCCAAACTACTTCGATCAAATTTTATAGTTAACAAAAATATCACCTTTAAACATCTCAAAACACGAAACAATTTGAGTCTTACCGTAGTGCTTTATATGTAAAGCTTGTGAAATGCAAATGAAAATTATATGTGATATAATAATTAAAACAGCTATGTAAATGAACTTGCCAAAGGTTTCTGTCAACCTTGCCTTAAGCGAGAAAAATGGAACCTAAAAATTAAAAGATTCTTCACTCACCCAACACACAGAGCCCCTCTCATGGAATCGAACACTGCTGATGTGAATGAAGACGAATGACTTGTAACAACATGGCTTCAAGTATCTAATTACACACATGATTGCGAGGAAGAATTGCTGCGTCTTCTTGCATACTAATTGCTCCTGCGTAGAAAGTAGTCCAAGGCTGCGTAGACCACACACACATACACACACACACACACACACACACACACACACATACATTCCTAAGTATATAGGGCGACATGAATGTAAGCAAATCATTAGATCTAAGCAGAAAATCTGTCGTCTGCCACGAGAGCAATAATAATTGCGTATGGGATTATTTTATTTTTAGTACTTTAAGAAGCTTCCTGTGTTGAATTTATCAAACTAGTGTGCGAGAGGTATACTGGCAACGGCTTGCACAGTATCGTTTTGTTTTAGTATTTTAGGTAAATGGTCCCTTTGTTACAACAGACACACAAGTTCGTAATTTTGAGGGTATGATAATTAAAAGTAGTTTTCGGCAATCGAAAACTCACGTATTTCTTATGGTAAATGTGAAAAAAAAAGTAAGAGATTTAAAGGACGCGAGCCACCTCGCGCCGTTCGCCTGATTCTGAAGAGCTTAGGCAGAGCAATAAATATAAAGCAGTTAGTTGTAAATAAATTTGGTAGAGTGCTAATTTGTTCTCTAGTAGTACAGCACTAAATGTTTCCTAAAGTTTATGATTTTGGTTGTACGAGAAGTTTTGTATTTAATTTGGAGTAACAATTATTCGCTGCAAGTGATTGCGCCATTTGTTTCGAGAAATCTTGTTTCTATTTCTGAAATGCCAAGCAGATATTAGACTAGAAGCCGAGTGATTCCAGAAACAAGCCGAAAGATGTTCACACGCACCCAAAGTGTTTCAATGTAAACGGTGTGATGAAAAGTTCCTCCTCAATTCTTATTCCCTCCATGAAAACCTAGTCCACAAAAATATCTAATTATTAAGAATTGTCTCCAGAGCTAAAAGCCAACAAATATAAATTTCTTCATTAAAAAGGTTGAAAACAGAGTACGAGCAGAAACTATTATTTTACGTCCCAGCTCTAAAGATATAAAATCCTGTTTATTCATGGGGCGGAGTCGCATCATCTAGCATTTATTGATGCATTCAAAAGCATTTAAAATTCAATAATGTAAACGGACATTGGTTTCAATTGTATTTTATGTCGTAAGACAAAAACATATTTTATCAGTAGAAACTTTCAAATAAAGGAGGCGTATACGCCAAAATTGTGATATTATTTTAGCAGTTACAAAACTGTTCAAGATCTTTGTTACTCGTGCATGAGTGTGAAAAGGAGTGGATCTAAATCACTTTTAACATAATCTGAAAATTATCTCTATTTTATGATGTATCATAGTATTTTGGGTTACACAATGAGTGAACCGCAAAACTACCAATACAACTGCTTCCATCTCAAACCAAGTACTGATTGCTTGAAGGAAAAGACACTGAGCGGTCACTTGTCTACTCATTGAAAACATCAAATTATTTTTTAAATCGCATTTTAAGGTAAAAATATTAAGAGAATTCAATATCTTATATATACGTCACCGGTTTTAATAAATACTCTAAGATGCTTAATACGCTAAGATGCGATAATGCTTTAAGATAACTCTTAAGAAACAAAGTCAGTTGTGTTTGGACAATCGACACAGACAATTAGAGTTCTTTCTTGTAACGTAAATTCTGTTCTCAAGCGATTGCCATTGTGATAACCCAAAGATTATGCTTTTTAATTTCTAGTTTGAAGAAGTGTCTCCCAAGGAAATATTATCTTAAACGACGACCATCCGTTAGTGTTCAAAAACGTTTTACGTCGTGATATCTTTTTATACATTTATAAGTGGACTTATTTTAAGATCTTGAAAGAGGGAAAACTGGCCGAAGTCCAATCTGATGCCATGGCGTATCTCTAAGTTATTAGACAAACAGTTGCTCATTATTTAACAAGTGTTCAATCTTTCAGCAGTTAAAAATCGTGAAGCGGCTTTCACTACGAAATTTGTGTTCATTAAATACGACCTCTAGCGGAGACATATGTCGCATTGGTCATGGGTCAAATCCCATTCTACACTGCTGAAGGATTGTGTGTACTATTACATCTTGGCAGAAGAAATTCAAATGTTAATTCAATGCGATCTCTAGTTGAGTGACTTTGGTGATGGGTTTCTTTAGGTGAGTGTAAACGCATGCAATTTAGTTACGTAAATACTTAAAGGATTAAATGTTTCAACACTGTGACAGTGAATGAAAAGAGTGCAAAAATGTAAGGAAACTGTTATAAAGCAGAGGATATGTTTAGTCTCTCTTTTAGTTAATTGCGAGAAGAAATGAAAAACTGTCATTTGATCTGATGGGCGTCAAGAAAGAAAACTGTCTCAACACTCTATACAATTGTGATACAATTATCTAATTAATGATATTAATTAAATAATTAATGTGATGTAACTGTATGTTTTGTGGATGTGACGTGTACGTATTGAGCATTTGTTTGTGCTGGTTGTGTTTAGCAAAAGAAAAAAACAATATTTTGTCTTATTTCAATAGGCTACCTGTAATCCCTGAGGAATGGTGATATCTTTTTGTAAGAAAATTGGTAAATGGGTAAAAGTATTTTTTACAATGTCTTCATTCTACAGTCATTTTGCATATAAATAAAAAGGTACAAAATGAAATAAAAACAACTAATTTTGCATCATTCTGGAGGGACGATTTTTCAAGCCCTTTTCCTAGCTTTCATCAAAAGCTAAAAGTTCAGTTTCATAACTGACTTTCGTGATTCACAATAGATCCTGCATGGTTCTGTTTTCACTCATCTATAGATTAGTAACACAACTTAAATTACTGAACAATACAAAAACCATATTCATATTTTGCTATTCTTTAAAATATACCTAAGTCAATTAAACATCTAACGGAGTTCTTCAAGATAACCTTTGTAAGTGACACCAAATGACATATTGGTTCATTTTGTTACATAATATTGATCAATTATTACATTAACCACGAAAATATGTTAAGAAAAAAGTTTTACATGTATAATATGTAAAAAAATCAGTATTTGATATGGTAATTAAATAATTATGTGAGTTTGAAGATTAAAACCGTTTGGATGAAATGGAATGATACCTATGAATACAAAGTAAATTATTTAATTTACTTCGAAATCAAAACACTGATGCATTTATTGTGTATCAAGTACTTTATCATTCACAAACGTGAACTGTTTAACTTATTCCGTCATTAACAATACTTATTCAATCAAACCATTACACGATAATTGCATAATAATTGCACGACTCCTTGACAACGTTGGATATAACAGAATTCATCTATACAAAACCAATTTCGCAAGATCCTGGAATTTATTAAGGAAAGTATATTTCTTGGTACAATGCTGAATTAAACAACAATTGCTAACAAACGTTCACTAATCAACTCTCCTAAATAAGATCAGTTCAGACATTTTGTTACTACAAATTTAATACTATAAATCACAAAACACAATGTAAGTCCCCCAAATAGGGGAATAACCCAACGAAGTGTTCTGTAAACAAATACAAAATTAGTAGTTCCACAAAAGCACATAATTTCTCATATTTGTTACGGTTACGTAGTACTAAAATACTAGTTGAACCAGAAAATTTTGTAGCATTACATAACATTCTGTATTACATATATGAGAAAGTAAGAATGACATTAAGGCTCACATTCATATTCAAACGTTTCTGAGCCCCACGTCTATTCTTCACAACTCTGCTAGAATATAGCGCGTGTTCTTAATAAAAAATGTACAGTGCGCTTAATAAAAGTTAGCCTTGGTCCGCCTTGGAGTTGTGACCTAAGCCTATGACTTTCAGGGAAATAAGCTAAATATTATGCTAAAAGTCTCAGTTTCATTAATAATTTCGAGTATGCAAATATTACAAACTAGGGGTGCTCCAACAAAACATACTTTATATATCATCGAAGGCTTTCATGACCGGAGTCAATATTAGTAGAAGTTTCCGGGCTGATAGGCCATGGTCAATTTCGGCGTTGAACGGCCAAACATTTCGTCCACAGGTGCGGTGGTCAGTGACGGCGGATTCTCGGGT